AAGATACAAAATTTGGGGACTAAGTTTAAATACTCAAGAGTTGTGTCGGGCCTCATGATGAAGATTCGAAAATGTTAGGAGTCAATTAGATACAATTAGAAGTCAAAAAGGACTTAAATATGTTCAAAATATTTTTACAAAACAATTTTCAACCGCACAAATTTTTAACCTGAGATTGAGACCCATTTTTGACCTAGTAAAAGTCTAAGTTCGAAAAATGCTATTTCTAGTAATGATGTATCCCTTTGAGTTATCGTTACAACCCAATTTGAATCGCCTCAATCTAATATTGGGAGAGAATGTTATGATAAAAATACTAAAGGAAATGCAGTGGTGATTTTGCCAGATAGGCGACACAGGATAGAGGTGTAAAGACGAACGGGCCGGTCAGACCCGTGAAAACAGGCCCGGATCAACCCGGAACCTCGGGCCGACCCATGACCTGAGCGGACGGTTCATGGGTCAAGGAGGTGTGACCCGTGGGTTTCGCGGGTTGCACCTTCACGGGCCGCGGTTAACCCGCTGGCCCGTGAAAAAAAAAATTAAAAATTTGAAAAAAAAGGGGGGAGAGAGTAAGATAAAATTATTGATAATATTGCTGAAAATTTCAAAAATCTTGCAGTTCCTGAAAATTGATTGGAAAAGAAATATTAAAATATATAATTTTAGAACAACTAAATTATAGTTAAGACTTAAGTATGTGCCAATCTAGTTGGAATGTACTTAAACTATAAATTATAATAAAAGTAGGTGTCACCTAGTTAGGATGTACTTATACTATAAATATTTGATAATAGTAATTAGAAATGCATTTAGTTGTTATTTGTTTCAGTTAAATTTAACTTTACAAAGTTATAAATAATTTATATAACATTAAATTTAAATTCTATGTAAATATTTCTAGGTATAAATATGAATTTATCATTTTGTTCAATTCTTAGTTTACATTTAGCAAAAATATATATTTTTTGCTATAAATATGAAAAATTCTATATCTCTATAATTTTATTTATACAATAATACGGGTTAAA